CCTTGCTTTCCAAGTCACGAGTGTCGATGAGAAATACTTAATGCTATCCCAAATATAATCTGATGTTGCATAGCTCACAAAGAGAAATGAATGGCAAAAATTTGTGATTGATGTATGTTCATCCTTTTTGAACGATTGGCTTGCTAGAGTTGATTCAAAGTGCTTCAAGAGCTTGCAGCGTCGCTTTAGTGAACGAGTATAGCGCACTGATCCTTAGAGTCCCACCACTATGTTCAAATTTGTGCCTGCGAATAATCTGTTAGCCACCGCACTTTTTAGTGATAAGCGTTCCACTACTTTACATGAGATCCCAAGTTTTTCAAGTGGACTGCAGCCTCTAATAAATCACTCGCATTTAGATGCATTCACCAGCATTACCGTACATACTAGTTACATAGTCCTTAATATTGCAGTGGTTGTGCTGAATCCTACTGCGAGTTAAGTTTCTTGTTATAGTTCGGAATGTTTACTAGTGGTTTTGTTGTTCCACCGCACAACGTTCGTCGTAGTGCAAAAATCAGCGCGTTACAGTTGAAAAGCAGTTAGGACGACGCTGAGCTTTTGCGATAAGGAATGTATGACCTAATGAGCAACCCACTTCGTATTGAGCCTTTCATCTCAGCAGTGTTTAGCCCTGCGTTAAAAAATTGCTTGTTATCTTCTAGGCACAATAGGCTTGCCGCTCTGACTATTAGGCAGTCAGTGATATCGATATATTGAATTTGCAATATTATGGAATGCAATAAGCAACATTTTCTGAATTGACATATATTCGCGTATTTTTCTAAGTATTGTTTGAAGTCAGTAATATTGGAAACATAGTATGAAATCTCATTGCAGATTTACAAAGTTTTTACTATTGCCCTTATCGAGCCAATTATTTCGTAAATATACGGAAAGAACACTCTAATCTTGTTACAATTTTTGACGCCACACTATTTATATTGATCATTTGTAGTTTAGATAACACGGTAGCGCTACCGCTGTTCATGGACGAGGAGCTGGAGGAGTTTATTGAGGTAGAAAGGCTAATTTGCTTTATTTTTTAGTCTAAAAATGCAGCATTTCAGATTTTAAAAATTATAAGGAATACGACGCTCTCCAAAGACGACCGTCTTCAAGAAATTCAACCGCGTCTTGAAAACTATACGAATACTGTGGATCACAACTTACCTCAATTGCCTTTCTTGATTTTGAAATGTGACTATTTTCTAGAGTATTACGCTTGAGGCGATGGGAAATCTAACTGATCTACATGACTATATCATGGAACATGTTGAAAATGCATCAGCTAAAGTTATTCATTTCAAACATCCAAATGCACAGATTCTGATGTATTTCTTGCAGGTGCAGGAATTTTTTTACCAAATTTACGATCTTACTGCAGATATAAACTTCGACACGAAAACTGAAAAGGAACAAGACGAAGAGGTAAGTGAGCCAAGTGCTACAGCGAGAAATTACAAGGAATTAAGTGAGCAAAAAAAATAATGTTTCAACTTATAAGGCCTCCAGGTAGATTATTCTATTGACACAATTTGTTGATCATCATAGAGCCAATATAAGTCTTAGAATGCTAAGGCAACAATTTTCTACCTCTGTTCGCAACAGAGCATTTCTTTGCCTCATTCACCATAGAAGATTAGAAGGCGTTTCCAGCTGCTGCATAGACTCTGCAATGCAGTAATTCTCATCGTTATGCTATTATTTCATCTCTTGATTTTCTTAGAAAGTTTGTTACTTCTACTATTAGATTGATGCATAATTATCCGGACTTCTTTTATAAATGATTTTATTTAACAAAAAATAACATAAATAGTTAGA